CAGCAAAAAGAGACCCTTTGATCTGTCAACATCCGGCAATGCGCCCAAACTATAAAGCTATACGGAGAGAAACGGCCTAATGAGAAGTAACAAATATGGCGTAGAGCACGGAACGCCATTCACAATGGACCAGAACACAAACACGCAGTTGTCCGCTTTGTAAATCCCCGGAATCCTAAAGAGCATAGAGTCGCTCGTAGAGCACGGAATAGAGCAAAAAAACCGGCGGTTGCGTTCGTACACGTGTCGCTCTAAATTGGTTCTAAATGATTTACTCGGCGGACGTGCGTGTAGATTAATTTCAATTCGTAATGTTCCATGAGCGACCCGTTGTACATATGTAAAATACACTGCTCGTCGAAATGACGCTGGTCAATCTAATACACTGCTCGTCAAAAGTTTCTACTAGAAAAACGAGTAGTACAAAACCTAGTTCGTCATCTTTGGTCTAAAAATACGCCGCAATTCCATTACCGGCGATGAAATGCCCGCCGGATTTTTTTATTTTCGACAAAACAAAGGACCAAGAACAAAGAATTGCCCGCGAACGGGGAAGAAAATAAAATCAAAAAGCTCGCGAGTTACGTGTAAGGACGACGTGAAGTTGCGTCGTCGAGACGCTCGAGACGCTCGAGTTGGAGGAAAATAGTCGCGTGATAAAAGGAAAGGAGACGTCGAGGGGGGCTCGAGGGGGCCCGGAAAAATTTGTACGAGTACGAAAGGGTTGGAAAAATTCAATTAGAAGATATGTATTTTTTTCCTAACGACGAGATTCTATAAATATTTACAAACAAACCCTATAAAATAATTTACATGAACCACCCTGTATACGCACTAATTAGCTTTTATAAAAGCTCTTTTTTATTATTATTATATCTACCTATTGTGTTACATGCCTTTTTTTCAGTACGATGATAAGAAGGGTAGATAAAATAGAACATCGCTAGAAGAGGGATGTTTTTTTTTTTCATGAAAAGCATCGCATTTTTTGTGTTATCTCCCTAAAAGGTCGCTAATAGGTCAACATCTGCACAATTGTTGGGGATTTTTATTTTAATTTTTTTTTATCTCGTTCTCGCTTGTACGCCTTTTACAATACATATTCCTCCTCACGTGCTTTTGTTTGCTTAATCTGCTCAATTATGAGTTGAACAAAGAAAGATTCTAGTGAGGAGAGGAAGGATAGGGAGAAGAGGGAGGAGAGGTAGGAGAAGTAGGGGAGGGATGAGAGGGATGAGAGGGATGAGATGGAGGAGAGGGAAGAATGAGAAGAATGTAGAAAATATCACTCTTTCTTTTTCATTCATATGAGATTAATGGAAGTCATCTTTATTGCACCCGTTACACAATAATTTAGCATCCACATGTATACAGGGTGTCTCATAAGTTGATATATTTTTTTAACTGCGTATAGATCTTTTAATTCTAAGCAACTTTTTCAAGTAAAATTTTTTAATATTCTGGAAAATAAGAGCATGCTTTTTTCAATATTTAATTATTAAGATGTTAGTTAATACGACCCTGTTCATTAAAAGTTAAAGGAACTGCTCAAAATTGTCGCCGTATTGATTGACGTCATTAATTATTTATCATTTTTTCGACACCTGTATGGTAATGGCAGGTCCGTATTGGAAAATATTCGAAATTTAAAGAAATTTACTTGAAAAACTTGCTTAGAATTAAACAATCTATACGCAGTTAAAAAAAGTATCAACTTATGAGACACCCTGTACACTAAAAAAAATCACAATTTCTCCAATTTATTATACATTTATACATAATATCACGAAACACTCAAATTCAACAGTTAGGCAATTATTCCCTTTGTAATTAAATCACGCCAAATTAGCATTCGCGGTCTCCTTTGCACCTTCGCCCTTCAATTAAGGATCAAAGCCCAAGACAGAGGAAATTGTTAGTCGGGGAATTACCCGGTCGCAATTGGAAAACGAACACCGGGAAAACTATCTCACAATAGCCGGAAAATTGCTAATTAACCGGTTAGTGAATTGCGCTGTTTAAGCGCACAAAGTACCGTGTTTATTAAACTTCTTGAAATGATTCTGTTATTAACAAATCGTTGGACGAAGAACTTTTATTTTAGATGGTTTTTGAGAAGTTAATTACAGCTCCGTTTGTTGAATTACAGGAGAGGAGTCCCTTTAAATGGAACAAAAGGGGTCGCAATAACTGAAGTTCCATTAACGTTATTAAATTAGAGACCGGCGGCTAATTTAATATAATTATAATACGCGTCTGAAGAAAATAGGAAAATTCAAATCGCCCTTAATATGGTTTCGCATATCTGAGAGATAGTATACGAGGGGTGTGGAAAAAATTCAAATTTTTTTGAGTAGGTTCGGTGAAATTGAGATAAAAACACGTTTTGCGTTGTCTTCACGTTAGAATTGAGTAAAACATAAAATTCTACAAACATTTACGCGTATTTTAAAACAAACCGGACCGATTTTGATCGAGAAATAGTGGAGATATTAATTTTTTTGTGATGAAAAACATTTACACCCAAATACTTAATACTTAAGGTCCTTGGTTCAATCCCTACTCGCGCCAACGAATTTTTAAGCGATAATTTAATCTTTTTAATTCCCTAATAACATTTTTTGCAGTCTTTGCACATAAGAAAGCAAGAATAAAAATCGTATTCGTGCACATTTCATCTCGTAAATTTGCAACTCTCGTTATTTACATTCCGCAAAGGAAAATAGTGAAAAGCATTAAAACTGGATTTTTCTTGTATCGTTCCAGATGCGAAAATAAATCTGGACGCGCCATTAGGTCGCTTCGTCGCACGTAATAAAAAAAAATAAGAAGAAGAGAGAATTACGATGGCTTCGAGAATCAGCCCGGTGTGAAATTGAAAGATACAGTAAGTACAACAGATGATTTATTTTTAGTTTTTTTTTATTTATTTTTCTCGAGAATTTCGATAAATAAAACGCTCTTGTGCGCAGGGTCAATTGCACTGGATTAAAACCTGTTTAGATTAAATAAATGCAATTGTTACAGTTAAAAAAATCATTTTGTCGAGTGCAGTTTACCCGCAAATGTAGAAAACATGCAGGTCCGGATTGAATCTAATTAAAAATGCGAAATAATAGAAATGTTACTTCGATTTTGAACCTAACCGCACGGAATCGTTTTGCTCGTGTAAATCATACACATTGTAGCGAAGCGGAAATTCTCCTCGTCGGAAATTACAATGGAACTGGAGCTTTATATATCGCACACATACACACAAACAATCAACAAGTTCTTTTGATACATCGGAACAGCGGGAATCCAATACAAATAACCCCGTCAACTACATTTTATAAGCGTATAATATTCCATCGGTTCTCTATGTTCTCTAGGAATGTTATCTCGATTCACTTCGATTCTATTTATTGTTTTGATTCTTTAAATTCTCGCGTTTCTCATTACTTATCTCAATGCTCTCTCAACACTGTCTCAATCCTCTATCAATCCTTCCTCAATCCTCTCTTAATCCTCCCATCAAACATCTCTCAATATCCTCTCTCATGAATCCTCTCTCATCAATCCTCTCTCATGGATCCTCTTTCCATCCTCTCTAATCAATCCTCTCTCAATCCTCTTTCAATCTCCTCTATTCTCTATACATTCTTTCAATTCTCTCTCAATTATCTTTAAATCCTCTCTCAATCCTCTCACAATCTTATCTCAATCTCCTCTATTCTCTATGCATTCTTTCAATTCTGTCTTGAATTCTCTCTCAATCCTCTTTAAATCCTCTCTCAATCCTCTTTCAATCCTCTCTCAATCTCCTCTATTCTCTATACATTCTTTCAATTCTCTCTCAATCCTCTTTGAATCCTCTCTCAATCGTCTTTAAATCCTCTATCAATCCTTTCTGAATCCTTTCTCAATCCTCTCTCAATACTCTCTCAATCCTCTCTCAGTCTCCTCTATTCTCTATACATTCTCTCAATTCTCTCTATTCTCTCGATTTTCTTCGATCGATTCTTCAGTTGTCTAACGTAATGGATTTCTAATTGAATTGAAAACGTTTCCATTAGCATTAAAACTAAAAACCCATATATTTTACGTTCGACGTGTTTTTGGGTAGGGCTCCGGCGAAGAAAATCCGAATTGCCGTTTCGATAAAATATTATAGTACGGTGGCAAACGGGCGAGACGTTGATAAATCGAAACGTACGGAATGTTGTATATTTTCCCATTTATATTTGTTCGAAATTTCGCCCCGTTTGGCGCGTTAAACATCGATATTAAAATGAGTATGTATAGCTCGTTTATCATTCGCGAGAGAGGTATGGTTAATTTGCTTCGGTTCGGAGGTTTTTGAAAGAAATTTGTTCTCCTGGCGTGTTTAATGTTGATCGAACGAACAAAAATTGCGAGGAAAAGAGTGGAAAAATTCGAAAAATAATTCGAAAAGAAATTCGAAAAATAAACGTTTTTTTTGTAAATTTGAGTCTGAAGATGAAATTTCGTGGAGTCGAAACGTCGATTTTTGAATTTCTCTTTTGAATTTGATTTTTGAATCGATCTTTTTCTCCATTCAAAACAGTGAAGTGGGTACAATAGTAAAAAAATACCAATCAGTGAGTCAGCCATCGATGAAAGTTTCTTTTTAATGACCCACCCGATCACCAGACTTTACACCACTTAAATTTTACTCAGCCTGGCTTTTCCAGACACTTTTAAATAACCCACCCAATCACCCGACTTCGCACCACTCGAATTTTACTCATCCTGACATTTCCAGGCACTTTTAAATGACCCACCCGATTACCAGACTTCGCACTATTTCAATTTTACTCACCGTGACATTTCCAGGCACTTTTAAATGACCCACCCAATCACCAGATTTCGCACCACTCAAATTTTACTCATCCTGACATTTCCAGGCACTTTTAAATGACCCACCCGATCACCAGACTTTACGCCTCGCCAATTTCACACTAATCCACCATCTTCATTGTTCCAGCAACGTTTTCAAAATGGAAACCATATTGAACAGCAGCTTCCCCAACTTCACGGCCGACGACGGCAACGCCACCTGGAACGCCACGTGGAACGCGACCGACGAACCGATCGACGAGGTCTACTACAACGTGGTCCTGGTGTGCCTGACGATCCTGCTGGTCTGCTGCCTGCTCGCCATGTGCGTCAACTGCCTGGTCATCGTCAGCATCTACTGGATCCGCGCGCCCATGACGCCCAACCTGAAGATCAGCCTCAGCCTGGCCGTCGCCGACGCGCTCAGCTCCAGCCTCACCGGTTTCCTGCTGCTCACCGAGCGCCTCGACGTCAGCACCGACGGCGTCTTCTTCACGCTGGCCGAACTGGTGCGGCTCAGCGGCATCGTCATCACCGTGCTGCACCTGCTCGCGCTCAGCTTCAACCACTACGTGGGCATCATGAAGCCGTTGCACTACAACGTGATCGTCACCAAGCGCAAGGTGGCCGTCACCATCGCCGTGCTGTGGCTGGTGCCGTCGACGCTGGTCGTCGCCCTCTCGGCCGTCGAGAAGCACGGCCGGCTGTTCGACGAGGCCAGCTCGCTGAACATCTTCTCCAAGTTCGCGTCGAGGCTGGGCTACAGCTCGCTGTTCTTCGTGCCCATCGTGCTGATGGTGACGTGCTACGCGCACATATTGGTGGTGGTGAGGCGGCAGCAGAACAAGTGGAAGAACGTGTCGAGGACGGGCAGCTCGAAGTGCCGCGGGCGCAGCACGAGGAACAACAATTGCAGCCAGAAGGCGATGCGCGAACAGGCGAGGCTGCAGGGGAACATCAAGGCGGTGTACACGACGTTGTTCATATTGGGTTCGTGTTTTATCGGATGGATGCCGGCGCTGTTGTTGTTCGTGTTGATTTGCAGCGATTGTCCGATCAGCGGCGCCAAGTTGGACGCGCTGAATAAGGATTATCGATACGAGGTGATGTCGCTGAGGTTGGTGGAGAATTCCTTGATTATCATGAAGATGCTGGCTAATCCTATTATATACACTATCAGGATCAAGGAGATTAAGGTGAGTTAATTGGAGGCGAGGCGTTGTTCCCTAAACGATTAGTCTATTAAATATTGTTCCTTAGACACTTAGTAGACAAATAATAATTGTTCCACAAACAATTAGTAGACAAATAATTGCTACATAAACAATTAGTCAATAAAACATTGTTCTACAAGCAGTTAGTCTATAAAATATTAATCCTCGGACAAGTACTACACAAAAAATTGTTCCACAAGTAGTCGATAAAATATTGTTCCTCATACAGTTAGTAGAAAAATAATAATTGTTACACAATTAGTCGATAAAATATTGTTTCTCAGATAATTACTAAACAAAAAATTGTTCCACAAACAAGTAGTCGATAAATAATTGTTTCACATACAATTAGTAAATAAAAAATTGTTCCACAAAGAATTAGTCGACATTGAATATTGTTCCTTAGACACTTAGTAGACAAATTGTTGTTCCACTTATCCACAGTCGACAAAAACTAGTTGCTCGAGTAATTGATCGTCAATTAGTAGACAAATAATATGATTGTTCCATTATCTGCATTTTGAGATTCTTTTTTTTTTGGTTTCCAGGACAGCACGAATCGAATGTATCTGGCCGTTGCCGGGCTGTTCTGTCCGAACAGACGGAACAACAACGCCTACGGTTTGACGTATCAACCGTCGCGCAAACAGAACAGCGTCAGGACGTCCCAATATCGCATGAACTCGTTTCGCACGACCACCGAGACGCAGATCATTTGACACGGTAACAACGTCATCGTGAAAAATACGCAGCTCTAGCTCGAATCGAAGCTGTAATTAGGTCATTCAAAGCTGTAATTAGGTCACTTGAAGCTATAATTAGGTCAGTTGGCGCTATAATTAGGTCGGTTGCAGCTATAGTTCGGTCAGTGGAAGTTGTAATTAGGTCAGTTGAATATGCAATTAAGGCGCTTGCAGCTACGATTAGGTCCCTTGAAGCTGTAATCAAATCATGTGTAGCTGTAATTGAATCGTTTGCAGCTGTAATTCTAGGTCACGGCCTACTGGTGTTCTTTGAATGACTCGTAAAAGCTGCGTTGTGAGGAGTTTGCTTTGTGTGTGTACATCAAGACTGATAAAAACCGTTAGCTAGTCAGTGTAGCTGGATGTTTAGTAGTGAGGAGGCCGCTAATTCGTATATATCGTCGTGTATTTATATTGACCCGTATTCAGCGCTCCTTTTTTTTAATAATCAATCGTTTAAATGGTTTCTGTAATGTAAAGAAGGTCCTTAGTTACTCCATAACAACAATGTAAATCAGTCAAGTTAAAGAGACGCCTATGATGTTTGAAAAAGAGCGTTGAATGGGGATGAATGTATTCTCTTTAAAACGTCTATTCTCTGTAGTATAATATGTAGTTCTTGAAGAGTATTAATGGCGCAAATATAATCTGTTTTAGCATATAGAACATGCTGAAATTATTGTATAAAATGGTGTTTGCCTAAATTAAGTGTACATACTTGTCTAATATGCATATCCGCTTGTTGCTGTAATTCTTCGAAAATTGTACAAATTTGTACAAATTTACAACATTTTTGTTTCTTCCCGAATCTAGTAAAACAATCTTGCACAAATAATTCACAATATTAAAAAAAAGTTGTTATTCTATTTTATAAAAATTCTAAATTTAAAAATAGAATTTAGATAATTTTAACGTGAATAATGTAATAGGTATGTATCACTCAAATGATCCATTTATCACTCTTTCTCCTACACTTACAAGCAGAAATTCTAAGATTGTTATATTTACATAATTTTTCTTGTGATATTTTTTTATTTTAATATTTTTTATAGACTGACCTCTCTTGTATTTCTTATACATATTTTTTTTTAATTTCTTTAGCTTATATATGTTTTATACGTAAAGGGTTAAAATATGGCCTTTTACCTATAAAACATCCAACTACAACTTTCCATGAAATATTTATTTTTATACCTCTCGTTATTAAAATATATAAAGTTTAATATATTCTACGCCCCCATTATACTTTTAATAAAAAAATCAGTGTAAATAAATGTTTTCTATTAATAAGATTTTAATTCTACCTCTAAACATTAGCTAACATTAAACTTGTATAAAAACATTATATTAATATATTATTAAAAATCTGTCGTATAAAAAAATTCAAGGCACAATTTTATAAACACCGGGCGACTGGAAATGATTGTATAAAACCATTAGCGTACACATTACATGTTAATACGTCATTATGGCAGTACTATTAACAATTAACTACGCCACTGATGCAAAACAGAATAGCCAGCAATTCTATTACCAACTTTACAACACAAAATTCAACCATTTCCAGCCATCTTACATATCTAATATGGCACGAATAAGTCATATTTAATTGCATTAATGGCACGAATAAAGTACAAACCCTTTACAAATCCTCCCTGGCAGTTTTCACCGCCTCAGGCACCACCACAGAATCCTCTGTATCGCTAACATACCCCGTCTCCCCCGTATAATGAGTGGGATACACTAACAATGGCGCCGCGGAGAAAGCCACCAGATCCCTGCTAGGGTAGTAACCCTTCCAGGAATCCATCGGGTGCTTATCGAACAATATAGGAAGGTACTCGTCGACTGGTACTAGCCTCGTAAGAGGGTCCCCTTGCAGGAGCTTCCTGGCGCCTCGCAGGCTCAAAGCGTAGCCTAAAGTCCAGTAGGAGTAACCGGCGTGTACTAGGTAATTGCTGCCCTCTACCCAAGGCTCGTCGTTTTCCTGCAACCGTTTCCTGCCGAAATAACTGAAAAAAATCGATAAATAAACGACGGGGAATTAAATAATCGATGGGTGTTTATAGTACACTAGATCCCAGTTGCGAATTCCCCTCACTTCGGACATTAGATTTTGCACTTTGTGCCTGAAGAACGGCTCGAATTTTATGTCGTCTTCTAGTATCAAAGCGGTTTCGTAACGTTCTTTTACTATCTGAAATAGTACGGAAATTGTTACATACTGTATCGTTGTTTATTGCAATTTTTTTTACCTCGTTCCATAAGTTATAGTGGCTCATAAAACACCCGATTTCTCCTAACTTCATAGGCCTGAAAAACACCCTGTATTAGCCAAGTATGCATCCCAACCGGTCCCGTTTACTAACCTCTTATGATAGGGATCGGAAAACTCCGGCATGAATCGTATACTCTCCAAAAAGCTCTCGTTCAACAACCTTAAAACGAACAAAATCGAATTAATAGTCTTCTTCGAATCGATTAATAAAACATACTTTCCATCTACAGCATCGATTACGTCCACTTCCAGGCCCAATTCGTCGAAGCACTTTCTCATCCGTCTCCTTCTCTCGGGCCTCCGCAGCAAATTGATCATGAATATTTTATCGAAACCCAATGTGTCCTTTCTCGGCGAATCTCTCGCGAATTTCTTTAGCAAATCGCTAACGTACAATTCGTTCATTTCGTTCAAAACCTCCAGTTTTATATTGGTCATTTGCGCGTAGTCCAAGCCGAGGTGATCGTTTTGCTCCAAGGGCACCTGCAACGTAAAAGTCTTATAAAATTGGCTGTAGACTAGATAATTACGTGAAATTTTCAGTAGAAGTAGCCTCAAGGGTTACCTAAGCGTGTACTAAGTAGCATCAACCCTACTCAAATCTAAGGGGTTGAAATATCCCTTTGAATGAGATGGTGTACACTAAAAGTACGTTTTTCTTATCTCTCAATAGGGCTATAACCTGGTAATATCTCTCAAGTTATTACCATACCAAAACACTCTAGTGAATGAGTCAATTTTTGATTGATTAATGAAGACATGAGGCTATTATATACTCAAAATTCCACGTCTCCAGCCTGCCTACAGCCCACTTTACGGAGCTTCGAAAAGCGAGCATTACGCACCGTTAAATACCCGAATTTCAATTCGTTGCAAACATTCAAAGACACGCCGCTTTTATTGGCGCTTATGGCGAAGGCTATGATGTCATCGTGGGGCCCATCGAAGTCTTCGATTTTACTCGGATCGTAGGTCAGATAATCGGATTCTTTCCTTCGTAGATTCACGAGAACGCACGTATGCACCATCGGAACGCTAAAACAACCTGCAAGAGGTGATGATAAATACAAGTTTTTCATATACAGGGTGGCACGAACCCAAATTTTCCCTGTACAAAACGGGCGTGTACTCGTCAGTTCTTTGGTAGTAATAATCATCGGTCATGCCGTACCAGAAGTTTGAATATAACCCTTCGGATCTGAGCAAAGGGGCGATTACGGTCATGTTTTTCGATACTAAATAGTTCAGTGTGTCGGGATTCGTTAAAAATACATCGCAGTCGATAGTCTGAAATGTATAATTAAAAATACTCATCGGATATTTGCATACCATGCGCAAATTGTAGCTATCTAGGCTAAATTTGCAATGATAATAGAGTAAATTTCGTCGTAAATTTATCGCTTTAATATCTGAACAGTGTCAAGTAGGTCAAGTAATTAAAGCAAATTAAATCGAGGAATATAAATACGAGGAACTCCGCGATGTATTGTGTACAAACAAACAATCCAGGAAATCAAAATGAGTCTAAAAACAGTAATATTCCTCTGCGTAATAGTCGTAGGAGTTCTTTGCGATCCGATTCAAAGTAAGTACCCGAAGTAATACACAAATTATATTAATAAACCTAATTTCTGTGTAGATAAATGCGAAGATAAGAATTCTGAATTTCTCAAATGCGGATCGAAGTGTGTGTCAACCTGTCAATCGCGACAATACGCCAACTGCGATCCGGAATGCATTCCGGGGTGCTATTGTAAAGACGGATACATCAAAAGCAGCCAATCTGGACATTGTGTTCTAGTAAGCGATTGTCGCAAATACATGTAAACGAATAAAAACAATAAACATTATAAATAATATAAATTAATTTCAATTCAATATACCCTATCGAAGATATCTCGCAACCTAAGAAATAACCATCGTATTTAATATAATCTATTAGTTTAACATGCGTACTGACCAGTAAATAATCAGCCCAAAGTCTCCTGGCATAGTTAAGAGCGGTTTCCCTTAAATTAATTATGTTATCGAATCTTTCGTTGGTCCAATGTGCAGGTCCCTGTTCATCGGGATATTGAACGCCATCTTCGATAAATTCCGTATTAATTGAATGGTATTTGTCTTTAACCGAAGAAATCCATTGGCGTATAATTTCCAAACTGTTGTCGGCATTGTGGTCACTTCTTATCCTACAAAAATAGTCATATGAATTTAAAAAAATTTGTATTTACGATTTTGCTAGGTTAACTACTTCTTCTTTCTAAAAGGTCCTGTAACTTGACAATGAAAAAATTATACAACAAAACGCATCTAGCTAACTTCACGTCGGTGAAGTTGACGTTTGCTGTATGTCAACTAAACTAAACGTCAAGTGTCAACGTGCACTTCCTTTTCTTTTCCTTTCAGCTCGATTCACGTTTATAAAGGTAAGGTTATAAAGTGTAAAGCAAGTTAAATAAATAATAAAGTTACTTACCATAAAGATATACGGTCTTTCGGGTAATTTAGCGATTCGAAATTTGATAGGAAATAAGGTAAAGTGTGCGCTTTGTTTCTAACTAATATCGACGCCAAAATCGTCGGGTGTTTGTTCTCGGCGAGAGTTTTGCACAAGAATACAAAAATAATCGCAACAATCCTAAATAACCCCATTTCGGTAACGTATTAATCACTTACAGCACACAACAGGCGGTTTGTAGCCGTAAAAACTCATTTTAAATCACTAAAGTAACGTGGTTGATGGCCTGACAGCCATTTTTGCTCTATAAAGCCTACTCGATTCTTCATTGGTCAAAACTCCCGCGGCGGTAAATTTAAAATTCCCACAACTCTACAATCGCTATTATCGAAGTATTTTAAGATGTTGTTAGTAATATTGGAATTTTCTTCGATTTTTCAGGTAGGTCAAAATGACCAAGGGTACCTCGAGTTTTGGTAAACGTCGCAACAAGACACACACGCTGTGCAGAAGATGCGGTAGGTCTTCGTACCACATCCAGAAGTCGCAGTGCGCCCAATGCGGTTACCCCGCAGCAAAATTGCGCTCGTACAACTGGTCCGTTAAGGCCAAAAGGAGGAAGACCACCGGTACTGGCCGTCTCCGTCACCTCAAGATCGTCCGCAGGCGTTTCCGTAATGGATTCAGAGAAGGCGGCAAGCCCGTCAAGAAGGCCACGTAATTTTGTTATATTTTGTATTAGAAAATAAACACTTATTCCCAGTGTGTCTTTTTGTTATTTAATCGTTAGTGGAGTACTCGAGGGCGTAATGATAACAGCGGTTTATAAATAAATATAATCTAATGTGTAGATAGAATTACAAAATATATCTAAAAGGTTTCTCACTAGAAGAGTTTGTAAAATATACAAAACATTTTCAACTGGTTGTGTCCTCGTGATTGGGTGTATTAGATGAATTGAATACATCTAATGGCTCGGCGCTTTTTTCCTTAATTTTCTTCTGTTGAAAACTCAAACTAGATTTATCGAAATTCAACGGTATTATGCCCAAATCGCCGCTGTAACGATTTTTCACCACCTAAAAAAATTTTTCCAATAGTCTGACGTAAACAATGCCCTTATTTACTCCATAACAACAATGTAAAACTGTCAAATTAAACAATGTATGATGGTCGGCGGATCTATCGCTCACCCCGAACTCTCTCTTCTTTACTATCTACACGAGTGGAGGCGTGTACTAGAAAAGAAGCGAGAAAGATCTCCGAAACCCCTCACCTGTAAATACTTCTTCCCCCTGATCGAACTCAGCCGTTTATCCTGAATAATGAGAATATTATCGGCCTCCTGCGATGCCTTGGCGCCTCCGAAGATCGAGCTCGTGGTCAATTCGTCGTCGTCGCGCTCTTTTCTCGGGTGTATGACGAGCGTCACGTGGCAATTCCTCCTCGTCGCGAACTCCCTAAAGGAAGATATGATCACGTCTTGCTTCCAGAACCTGTCCATGTGCCTTTGGTCCTCCGACGTCCCCATCATGAACTGCAGATTGTCGATTATCACGTGGGAGATGTCGTAAACGTACGTCGCGTGTTCTATCGCCTGCAAATTTTCTGCGTGAATATACAGGGTGTTTAGTTATTGGCGAATAACCAGCTATCGTGTACCTCCATGACTACTTTGATGCTTTGTTGCCCGTGAAACGTCATGAAATATATGGGCAATTTTTCGAATTCATCGGCCCAGTGATCGAACAAATCTAAATTCTCGTCTAAGGGGATCCCGGAGAGCTGTTGTAGCATCGTTTTCGCTAAACGGGCGTTGCGTATTTCGAAGCTGCCCCACAAAGTGTTTACCTGCAACGTAAGAGGCCATTAAAGTTTACGAGATACTGAAATAGTGCTCTAATAGCCTTACGCCTTGCATGGATAAATCTAACGAATAATCGCTGATAAAGGTGGTTTTTCCGCAACCCGTGGGGCCTGTAAATACAGTCAATTCGCCGTTCCTGTGGCCTTTTAGGATCTTGTTCAAAGTCGGGTATCTCTTCCATTTGACTCCCTGTACCTACGAAAACAAACGTGAGTAATGTAAATTGAAGAAATAATATAATTACTTTATCGATATTTCGAAGATCGGACAACACATCGGCTCGCAACGCTGAGAAAGTGGTTACAGATTTATGCCACATCGGCTGAGCAGAAGAAATGATCGATTTAAAATCCTGATCGGGATCCAAGTGAGGCAACAATTGCTTATCGGTAGGCCTGAAACAACAAGGTATGCAGTTACACGAAACCTTGCGCATTGAAATCGTAATTCGATACCTGATTAACTGGCATCGTTTCTCTCCTAATTTCTTAGCGAAACTTCTGCTAGCCATCCAACTCTTATTGTCGTTATCGAGCCACAAGACTAATTTCTTGAACCTCTCGAAGCTCGGTAGAGTGTACAAAGGGATGTTATTAACTCCATTGGGTAAGCAAACAATGTTTGCATTAATTTTCGAGTTGGCTAGTATCAGAAGATCCGAAATGTTGGGAATCAAGACGGCCGTGTCTTTGTTTTTGACGGCTTTCGCGGTGAGGACTCCACCGCAGGAGGTATCCGGTAAAGTGGTGGCTTCGATGGATCGGCTGTGGAGCTTTCGATAACCGATTACTTGAGATTCGGCGTTTTCTAATGGGAAGTATATTTCGGTTTGTTTGTCGTTGAGTTTCACGTCGAGGTGCTCAAATACTGTTTTCGAAACGTTCTGGAATAAAAGGGTAGTAATTTGGGGTGTTTTAAGGGTTAGTGAAGCTTACTGGTAGCTTAAATTTCTTTAATATTCTTTGGAAAGCTTCTTCGTCTATATTTCTAACATCATTGGTAGTGCTTTGGATTTCTTTGAGGAGATTATCGAGTTTCTCCCTTTCACTCGTACTATCGGAGTTTTCTTGTAATAGCAATTTTTTAGCTTTTTTATTTTTAAACGATGTCTCTAATATATTCCATTCTCCCGTCCTCATGCATATATTGCACGAGAAAAAACCTACAAAATCGTTAACAAACTTCATTGCCTCGTAAATTTCCTAATGTTATAAATTACCCGTTGTTTTGTTGATATACAATTTAGCGTTTTTGTTACATTTATGGCACAATAAACAAGGCGCAATAAAACACGTAAAACCTTCCTCGAAGTTCACATTGTTGGTTTTTAAAGTTTTCTTGATCAAAGTCTTCGAAACTTCGGGAATGTCTGTGGGTAAGTTATTGAAGTTCCTGAAACAGTTGCTGACAGATACAAAGGTAACGTTGATTCCGTTTCTTAAGCGCTTTAAACCCAGATTTATAGCTGACATAAGTAAATGGTTAAATTAAAAAGTATTAAAATGATTAAAATCGTGCTTTAAAAACACGTTTCAACAGGTTTTGTTGTGCTGCCGATTGAGGTTAGGTTTTTTTTTAAATTCGTAAACAATGAAGTTAGTAACAAATGACATTTCTGTACTGGAGACCGGAGAACGGTCTATTACTATTGGAGTAGTCAGTAACTTATTTTTGTAGTTTTTATCATTTAAGTTCGTTATTTTAATATCGATAGTAGCTTATTTAAAAACCGATAAAAATTAACATTTATCCACAAATAAAACAACATATAAATACTAAATTCAATTACTTAAAAACATCAAGTTGCAGGGTGATAAATAAAAAAAAAATCCAAAACTTGTACAACCTAGTATAAATTCTAATAACTATAGGTAATTATTAAGGAAATTCTTCGTCATCGGAGAAAACCAGCTTCGGTAACTCAATTTCGGGTAACTCCAAAGGTTTTATTCTCTCGGGAAAAAGATCGGGGGGGTTCAACAGGTCTTCATCGATGAAGGTGTCTTCGTCAATACGCAGGGGCGATGGGGGAGGCGTCGAGTAATCGCACAACAAAGCCTTCACCACATTTCCAATGTGTTTGTCGATATCCAAGGGCATCCAAACATCGCTAAAAGGATCTGCGAAAAACAATACAAATAAGAATGCCGAGGGATTATAATAGCAATAGCCGCTACCTTCGAATTCAATGTTAGAATACTCGATATTGTTATCAACTTGAGGAGCAGGTGTCTTTACGATTGGTGTCTTTACGATCGGCTTCTTCTGCTTCTGCTCCGATTTCACGCTGAGCGATGCTTTATTCACTGATCTATCGAAGAGAGGCTTCCTGGCGCTTTGCACGCCAGGTTTCCTTTGAATTGCGTTGGAATCTGCGTAATAGACGAAGTTAAAAACGAATCAAATATGTAAATAATAAACTTACTTTCTGAATAAACTTTTATAGCGGGGGTGGAAAACATGGTGGAGCTCGAGTCTCGCAGTTTAGGAACGGTTCTATTGAATGTCGAGCGATATTTTCGTTTTTGTTACCTGTAAAAAATGAAAAAAGCCTTTAGACATTGATAAAAGCCGTTCGAAACAATCAAAACAACCGTTTGGTTTGTTGACGTTTAAAAACTTTACAATGTTGCCAAATTTTCGTGCGGGACCATTTGACTTTTGACAGCTCATAGCAAAAACTGTTTATTTATATAAAATTATATATTATTTGAGGTATCTAATACTTATATAATTATGTATATGTTAAACATAATTATAATTTCTATGATTTTCGCTTATTTCAACTTTATAGATATCTGCTGTCCTTCTCCTTTATTCCTGATGTGGTAACAAACCTGGCCTTTTACTATTGTAGTAATCAGTAACTTATTTATGGAAATCTTTTTAAATAAAAATTAATCCAAACATTGTTTTTAATATGTATTCATGCAACGAGTCTAAAATTAACCATCCAATTTAATAATCTCCCTTACACTATTTTAAGATAATTTTTATAAATGTGCAAATAATGGAATCCTTATATTCTCTATTGTTATATTGTTATATTGAGAAATTTAAATTTCACACCCGGATTAATAAATTTATTCCAACACTTTGTGTAGTGTTTATTCTCTGATAATTCTCCTGAAGAGAATAATATATTAGGTAACAACAATAAATGTAATGACAGAGTTTTATTTAATGTTAAAACACTCCCGATGTGAATACCCGAAAGTTCCAATTATATTACAGAAGATTTTTATTTCATGAATTACACCCTGTTACACCTACGAGGGGACTTGATAAAATAATGATATTCTGAATAAATTAATATTATAAATTTAAATTAAAGCCCAAAGTTTCGCAAGTAGGTAGTACTTATTGTAATCAGGTGATGTATCACTTGATAAGCTAATTACCGCTATATCTATTCACCAAAATTAACAATAATATTTATTTATTATTTAATAAAAAAATAAGCATACGCCGCCTTTTTAAGTGCGATTGTATAAGATTAAAATCTCTAAGATCGCGTATTAGTCAATAGAGAAATACATAATATCGGTTATCTTTGGGTATTCAGCTCTCAGAAGCTTTATAAACTAAATTTATCGGTTTGTCGTTCGAACTTACGCTCACAATTTTTTCAGAAATTATCGGGAACGGTCCGGCAAGGAGCCGAGATTCGATGTGGAGTGTTTTCAAAAAAAAATCCAAATTCCATCAGCAAAATGAGAAAGCATTTCAATTACACCCTACTGGTTACATGTACTGGTGAGTTGATTAATATTACATAATTGATGGGTATCTTGTGGTAGATATTTCGAGATATTTGGGTTATTAAAGCGTCTAATTTAAGCTGAATAGTGGTATTTTTAGCTATATAGGTTTGTGTTTTAGTAGGTCAGTTTTAATTAATTTTATTGACACAAATATTCTCTCTTTTTTATTATTAATTATTTTTTTTAATATTTTTTAAATATTTTTAAAAGGAAACGATGATATTTCTAATCGAGAAAATTTACTTGAAACAAATTATTTAACCATTAGTTTAATAAGATACTCGCTTCCTTTTTTCCGTGAAATAGAAAACATATTTATGTATCAGAAAAGAACAACAATAAAAGCCTAAGCAAAGTAAAAAAATTATCTGTTTACGTTATTTGTAAAGCCTAATTAACATACGAGAAAGAGAATACATCTTTTAAAAAAGCAATAGACCGAGAGGGAGAAAGATAGAATCATAAATGACAGGTGTACCTCCCCAATACAAAAATTCAAATAGCCAAATTTAGTTATCCCTATACTCACATAGCCTCAGGCCGATCCGGTACATTAAATACCAAATCCCAAAACGAAAATATTTACTTAATTAGTTTAACGAAGCCACGTTCATTTAGCATCGGCACGTATTTATTTTGGAAAAACTTCTAAAAACCTCCCAAAATAAAACACGACTAATTATAAGTCAACCAAAGGTCATCTGAATTAAACTATTCCAAACCAACTTCAATCAACCGATTCAATCAACAACATTCTATCACTCCTTTAATTCCTTCCATCTTCAATTAAACAGCCGCATTAATTGCATTTTATTGCGCTTATTAATTGTTCCAGTCCAGCTGTACCCCGAAAGCAATATTATTAATATTATTACTATCTTTATTAATTTAATTCATTGTTCCAGTGGGTTTATTAGCAGCATCAGTAGACATGCCGCTGGCCTGGACTTCCCCCAACTTCATAAAGCTCTATTCCAACGATAGCTCGATCAACCCGCTGCCTCGCCCCATCACCGAGCGAGAGGACTCCTGGATAGGCTCCCTGCTGGTAATAGGCGCCGTAATCGGCCCCATTCCTGCGCCATACATATGCTCCAAATTCGGCAGGAAGAAAGCCCTGCTGGTCACGGCCTTGCCCATAATAGCGGCTTTCTTCACGCAAGCCTTCGCCCGCAGCGTTTATACTATCTACGCTACTAGGGTGATAACAGGAGTGTCTTTGGGCGCCGGTTACGCCCTGCTGCCTATCTACATAGGCGAGATAGCGGAGGATTACAACAGGGGCATGCTGTCGCAGGCTATTAACGTATTTTGGTCGTTCGGGAACTTCTTGGTATACGCCACGGGGCCGTTTATGTCCTACAGAACCTTCAACGTGATGATAGCCGCTTTCCCGGCTTCGTTTTTCCTGCTGTTCCTCCTGCTGGCGCCCGAGTCGCCGCACTTTTTGGTAGCGGAAAACCGGCTCGACCAAGCGGTCAAGTCTCTGATGCTGCTGAGGAGCAAAGCCAAGGAAGAGGTTCAAGAGGAGATCAACTCCATAGGGCAGCAACTGACCGAGCAGAAGGGCAACAAAGGGCTGAAGGAGCTGTTCGCTACGGGCTTCGTGCGCCGGGCGTTCTTCATCTGCTTGTGGCTGGTGTTCACGCAGGAGCTGTGCGGGTTCTCGGTGATATTCTTCTACTTGCAGCTGCTGTTCCGCGAGTCCGGTTCGCGGATCTCCGACGAGCTGTCGTCGTTGGTGATGGCCTTGTTCGTGCTGGCCACCAGCTTCGTGTCGCCGTTTCTGGTGGACAGGTTCGGCAGGAGGACGTTGCTGTTGGTGTCCTGCTCGGGCATGTGCTTGTCGCTGGCGGCGTTGGGTGGTTTTTTCTTCGTTAAAGAGGAGACGAGCGCGAGCACGTTGCCGATCTATTGGTTGCCTTTGGCCAGTTTGGTGATGTTCGTGTTTTTCTTTAATTTCGGGATGAGCGTACCGTGGACTATTACCGCTGAGCTGCTGCCTTGTTACGTGAAGGAAACCGCTACGACTATTATCACTAGTTTGAGTTGGATGTTGGCTTTTCTGTGCACGAATTTCTTCCATTCTGTGACGCATAAGATTGGAATAGGGAGGACTTTTTGGTGTTTTGCTGGGTATTGTTTCGTGGCGGGTATAGGGATTTATTGTTTCGTGCCGGAGACGAAGGGGAAGAGTTTCACGGAGATTCAGGACGTGATGAAATTCGGGGGGGTGTTTCAATTCGGGTCTAAGAAGGTGCAAGGAGAATCTAAAGATGCTGGTGAGAATAAGCAGAGTAAAGAAAAGTATTGATGTTTATAGTTTCTTAAATGTAGGGAATGTGAAACCAGTATTTTATACTATACAGGATCGTAGGTGAATTTATTTTGATTATATACTCTAAGTAAAAACTCGAATTATGTATTGTTATCTGATCTGATTTGTATCATTAATGTAAATTTTTGATAAGTACTCAAAGGAAAATTACTTCATTTTATTGTTTAAAAATTTGCTATTTACTGTGATATTTTAGCTAATAAAAATGTTTAATTTTTGAATGGTATATTTATTACATCAATCATCATATCGACGCTCCCTCGTATTTGCGAATGTACTATAATTCGTACTAGATAGGCGAATCATGGAACACAACTTTCGTTTTCGTGAAATTTCTACCTGTCAATTGTCGTTGTCAAACGTCATGAACTGACAGGTTTTGGTTTTTTTGATGTAATTTAATCGAAAACAAAATAAATACTGAAAAATGAGCGAAATATAATAAACCGAAACCACTTTCGTCATCAGATCTTCGTTTGGTGTTGATGGTAACTTTCGAATTTCGATTGTACACTCTATAAAATGACCACTTTCAAAATTTTCTTGGATTGCATGTTTACTGGTAATCTCTACAAATACAACACGGATGATCCCGAAGAGGTAAAGCATAATTAATTCATAAATCCTCGTTTATTAATTATTAGTTTTTATTCGAATTATTCAGCGGCTGTACCAACCCAGTACCATAGAATATTACAGTGATCAAGTTATAAATTCGGTGAGTGTATAATAGCGATAATAAACAGTTTATTAACGTAATTGCTTGCAGTTTTACATAATTTGGAAATTCGGCATTTATTCTTATTACACTTCACCCGCACTAGTGGGATTCCTGTACAAAGGCGGGTACTTTGAACCTGAAGGACTTGTAACACTTTCTAAACTCGTCACAACGGCTGGAGTTATACTGGTAACCTCTTACTGCTTGAGGAGCTACTGCAGAGCTAATAATGGCAATTACGTGAGATACATGAACACCTTAAAAACCGCACAGAATAAACTAACTTCCAATGGCAAAAAAGATCTGATGAAGTACGATTTCGACTTCAAATCGTGGCCCGTTGAGTACAAGTGCACCCAGAACGCCAGGTAATATTACCAAACTTTAATCGGATAATGTTTATTAGAGAGTTTGTTAGCAGGGAAGTGGGTCGTTGCATACCCAAAACTCCATCGTACGATAATTTCCTGCAGTTCCTATGGCAAATACCGTACAAAGTTATGGCTTATTTCGCCATACACACCTTCGGCATTCGATTGATCTACCCCGGTATCGTTGGAATTTTACAAATACTTTTAGGCGAGTATCAGTGCAAATAAAATTCCGTTTTAATTAGTAACTTTCTAATCCGTTACACCTTACAGCACGCGTGAAAGTATAATATTAATTAATTAATTAACGAATATTATGTTGTTTTAGGTCAAGGCTTGCGACAGGGAAGAACCAAATTAATAGTCCAATATCAAGGCGAACGGTTTAAAATAGAAACGGCCGATAATAATCATATCGACACAATGTTTGTGGACAAGCGAAACGCTTCACCCAACGGTAAAACATTGGTGATTTGCTGCGAGGGTAACGCCGGTTTCTACGAAATCGGTATCATGACCACCCCCATCGAATCCGGCTATTCCACTCTGGGCTGGAACCATCCGGGTTTCGCCAACAGCACGGTAAATACTTCGATACAAAGCAAAACGCACAAGCTTCAAGCTCCTTTTTAACTCCAATCCAATCAATTACGAATGAACGTAAACAGCCTCCTTAGTTACTCCATAACAACAATGTAAATCTGTCAATTGAAAGATTCTCCTTAGTTACTCCATAACAACCATGTAAATCTGTCAAGTTATAGAGACGATTTAAGAAGGAGCATTCTACATATCGAAATAATAATTGATATATTTAATTGAAATCAACAGGGTAGACCGTACCCGTCCCAAGAACAGAACGCCATGCACGCCCTGATGCAATTCGCCGAGAACAAATTGGGTTTCAAGCGAGAGGAAATCATATTGTTCGGGTGGAGCATCGGAGGGTACCCGGCCTCGTGGGCGGCCATGAATTATCCGGAAATTAAAGGAATAGTACGCGTTAAATTCGTCATATTTTCGTTGAATAATCGTGTATTTTCGTAGGTGCTCGATGCGACTTTCGACGACGTCCTACCTCTAGCTTGTAACGTGATGCCGAAATGGTTGGAACCGATCGTAAAAATAGCAATACGCGATCACGTCGATCTCAACGTAGTGGAGCAGCTGATTAGGTACCCCGGTCCGATTTTGTTGATTAGGAGGTCCGAGGACGAAGTCATCTGTACTCGGTATTAAATTATTTGTGTTTCGTTCGATTCGGAAACAATTCACCGATCGGTTTTTTTTAGGCCTAACGATATATCGAGTAACAGGATTAACAATCTGTTGATGAGGCTGCTGTGTCACCGGTTTCCTTGTATCTTCGATGACGCCCGAAGGAATTTGTTGCTGGAGTATTTCTGCGGCGCTCAGGCCGAACAAGGTATCTGGTAATATTCATTTTATGGGGAAAAATGCTCGATTATGGGACAGTTAAATGCAATAGGTGCAACAAAAGCAACTTCTATTAGTCTCGTATGGTTCCATGCCGTTTTAAAATGGTTCTGCAACGTTCTAAATCGTTTTACACAGTTCCAAATGGTTCTGGAGAATTTTAAATGGTTCTAGACGGATCTGGAATTAATTATAAACTGTCCTAAAAGAGGAAACAAGAATTTTTCACCCTACCCTCGTACAGGGTGGATAATTAATTGTTTATAATTACAGAACAATACTTGACGCAATTTAATATCGACGATAGATTATGTTATGCGAAACTGCAGACTTATATCTCGGAGAATTCCAAAAATTATCCGATGAGCATCGGCGAGGACTGGGCGGATTTGGAGAAAACTCGAATGGCCCTGTTTTTGGTAAATATTTTGAAAATTTTGAGTACATTTTTATAATGTTTATTTTATTAGGCTAAAAATTACATGATCGATTTCAAAGCGACTCATTGCGTTCCGTTGCCGCCGGAATTGTTCAAGAGACCGTGGGACGTGACGGTGGAAAATGATTTCGTACATTTATGAATATGAATATCTAGTTATAATATAGATAATTTAATGTTTGAAAGTATTTTGAGGTAAAGTTAGCATTTAATGTTGAAGTGTAAAACAAATTATATATTTTTAAATGTCGGAATTAATGATAAATATCAATAAAGGTGGTAGAAAGTAGAAAGAAAGCTTATATTTTTCCAAATTCATTCTAAAGTGCAATATTCTGTTGTTGTGCGAAATAGTAAAAGGCCTCTGTTGCAGTTTCAGTTTGGCGGCTTGACCACAGACCACTAATCCTCTGTGATAGGTAATCTGTGTGCTTGACCGCTTACAAACCGTGGGTCATTCTAGAATAATTATTCTACAAACCGTGGGCTTGACCTCTTACGTTGTCCTTAATAAGATAAGCTACACGCTACGCATTCATTTTTTTAAATGTCACGTCAATGTCATAGAAAAGGAAATAATATGGTCAATCTTGTTTGTTGCTATAATATAATCCATTGTAAAATAATTATTAGATTAATTCGACAATGATTTCGAATGAGTTTATTATTTTAGCACATCGTAAATTCGATTCTATTAAATTTCGCTTGCCTTATTTTGAGGTTAGTTTTCATTAATTTACGAAAAAAACTATAATTTCCGTTAAATACACCGGCCAAATTTATCCGGAATTATCTAAAAATAATTGCCAATGCTTCAGTATCGCTTACTACATCCTCGCATACAGGTATTTTTTTTTAATATTTTTTATCGTAAAATGTATTTTTTAATAAACCAGTAGGCAGTACAATTCTCAATTGTAATAAATTGACAACGATAATTTTAAAATAAAACTACAATCAAGTAGTCGTCAACTTCAAGAGCTACTTCGATTTGCTTCATTTAAATTGCATTTAATCTAATTTTTATATACCTTACTTTGTGCATATTTTAATTCAGCAATAATTATTAGGTACCTGCGGTATACAAACCAATTTCGAAATAGAACAAAAATTATTGTAATCAGCATATATTTTAATAAGGCACGATTTCCATAAAAGTGATAGTCAATTGTTTTTTTTTTTTTTTAGGCGATGTAATTATTTGAAACAGTCGAGTTTTCATTTGTTTCGGCCAAACCGAACCGGTCATAAAAACCAATCGATATGAGTAAGTTACATAATTTCCAGTTGCATTCTTACCATCATATCATTCCGTATCAATTAATTTAACCGATTATTTCAGGCAAAGCATATTTTATCTCCACCAGTAGAACCGTGAAGTTGAATTACGCTTACATAGTAGCCATTACGGGTAAGTAACCGATAAGTTCTCGTCAAAGTACACCGATTAATCCATCATTTTCTAGGTAACCTGCTAGCCCTTACCGGAGACACGACGCTAACATGGTCGTCACCGATCCTTCCGAAACTGCGGAACCTCACCGACGACAACCCCTTGGGCTACGCCATCACCTCTTCCGAGGAAAGCTGGATAGGCTCTCTGCAGTACATCGGCGCCATGTGCGGCATAGTGCTCTTCTCCTTCCTGGCCGATGTGATCGGAAGGAAACCGGTGCTGTTGGTCCTGGCCTTGCCTCACTTCGTCTCTTTCGTGTCCTTCGCGTTCGCTAGAAACATCTATTTGTACTATTTCGGGAGGTTCCTGGGCGGCGTGTCCTTATCATCGGTCTACATAGTCCTTCCTATGTATGTAGCCGAGATATCGGAAGACTCCTATCGAGGGATGTTGCTCGTGTCTTACAGCACTTTCGCCAGTTTGGGCGATCTTATTCCGTATTTAATCGGTCCGTATACGTCCATATTGTGGTTTAATGTTATCTTGGCTGTGTTCCCGGTGGTATTTTTCGTTCTATTTCTGGCAATCGCCCCGGAGAGCCCGTATTACTACGTGGGTCGGGACGATAAGATGGCGGAGGATTGCTTGAATAGGCTCCGAGGCGCTCGGTTACACTACAGCGCTGCTGAGGAATTGCAAGAAATCAAAAACGAGAAGAGTAAAGACCAAAGAGGGGATTTTTTGAATACTCTCAAGAAGCGGTACGTTGTTAAAGGGTTCTTCGTAGCGCTCGGTTTGAGCGTGTTCCAGCAACTGTCCGGTTTGGGTGCCATTTTGGCGTATACTCAAACTATTTTCGATACAGCAGGTGCTAATATTTCGCCCGAAATATCCGCGATAATCGTGGGGTTGGTACTATTCCTAGCTAGTTTCCTCGGGCCTTTAATCGTTGATAGAAAAGGCAGGAAGTTTCTTCTCGTATGTTCAGCTATAGGTTGTATAATATCGGAAGGTGTAATGGGGGTATACTTTTGGTTCCTGCAAGAAGATAATAATAGCTCGATGAGCGGCGTTTCTTGGATACCCCTCGCTTGTCTCATCGTCTACGTGGTAACGTTTAATGTGGGATTCGGGCCGTTGCCTTACACGGTTACCTCGGAGGTGTTGCCGAATAACGTGAAGTTTTACTTAGCTACCGTGACGGGGTTCACGGGGTGGCTGGTGTCCTTTTTGGTTACGAAATTTTTTAACGATCTCAACGCCGTTTTGGGCAAGGGCGGTACTTTTTTTTTGTTCGGCGGTTTTTGCGTTTGCGCGCTGGTTTTTATCCTGTTGGTAGTACCGGAAACTAAGGGGAAGAGCTTTCAAGAAATTCAGGATATTTTGGATAAATAGTTGTTTGTTAGATGTCAGATCTTTTAGTAAATGTTTGTTGTGATAATTATACATTGTTTATACGAGATATATTATATGAGATTCATTAAACATGTCGTTAATTGTTTGTATTTGTGTAATATACATATGAGAAGCATTTAATTTGCTTCAATATACATACTTAGCTGGTTGTCATGTAAAACGTGTTGCCTACCTAAAAGTATTGAACAAAGAATGTATGTCAATTGTTAAACAACAAAACGTACCTACATAAGTTATTAAAAAACTTCCAAATTACCAAGTAAATAAGCTTCAAACCTCCTTTTATCACATCTAGACTGTTTTTTAAACTCCTAAAACAACCAACTCTCTTGAACTCAAAAAATAAACGACGCGAAGTTGGTAACATTCTTCTTGTCATATGTCAAACAACAAAACGCTACTACTAGCTATAAAAAATTTAAAACTCAACGATTAAACAAACTTTCGACCTCGCGTTATCTCCTTTAAGCCGTTATCAAACTCCTAAATCAACCAAATTTGTTTTAATCGATAAACTACCGCCGCGAAACGCAGAATAACTAATTCGTTTCGAATTTCCCGCCGTTTGCGCATGCCCAGTTTCCGCTTCCCACTTCTTCCCGCCAAAGGTAGGACGATCATCATGGCATGGTCATTGTTCTTTGACGCTCGTTCGCCATTGCAACTCCACACTCCACCGACGTCGGCGTTTAGTTATCAACATCGTCCAGGTAAGCGATTTATTTATGCATCTAAAAACCGACTAAAACCCATTCGATATCAATAGCACGTTTACCAGCGCTCCTTATTTCACATAACCTAGCTTTTGTTGTGTTGTCTAGTGCAGGCTTGTGTTCCGTCTAATGTTGCATGGCTTCCTATTTGTGACTAGATGGAACACTCGCCTTCAACGGGCACCCGTTCTACGTTTTACTTTTGTCGCCGGCGAGGCTCCGCTTTTGCCGCTCCACAGGCCCCGTTTCAGGCTCAACAGGTTGCAGGAGTTTCCCGTCTACCGGGCGAGTTCGGTATATATTTTTTTTCCTACAACAACCTACGCCAACTTTGCGCGAGTTGAACAATCGCGGATTTTCGGTAGGCGACTTGATTTGTGTTAGCAGTGGAATTTTTTATGAATTTAAATTGTTTTTGTACAGAATGTTAATGTTTTTTGTTTGTTTATTAGAAAGTAAATTGTAATTTGTTTTGGGAAAGGCAAATTCCTCGAAATGGGCTTTCTACGCCCCTGGGGGGAGGGTTTATGACGCAGCGATTAGTCAAAGGGACCCGGCATTTCTTTCACGTAGTCGTAAATTGTAAACTTTTCCAGGAAGGTACTTGGGTAGAATATCTACCTGCTTTCTCCCAAAGCATTTCCGATAACAATGGTCGAGGGTTTTAATTGTTAAAAGTAAACGAAAACTTGACTGAAAACGTTGAGGTTTCGTCGGATATATTGTTCTTTGGTGATCTAGTTGTATGAGTATTTTATATATCATAAAGCTGGTTCAGCAAAGCACAATGTATTTGACTGTACAGCGAGGGATTCCCCCTAATTATAGACGGAATATCACGGAGGGAATCTGGCTTGAAGGAACTCCTGGTGTGATATGTAATGTTACACGTCGTATCACAGCCAGTAGTTACCTACGAAATGGATTCCCTTTTACTACGATTCAACTAGGAATAACTTGAAATGCTTTTTTATTTAAATGATTTTATTATGGATTTTTCATGTATAAACAATCGAGTAACCAATATCACCTTAATACCTAAAAGTCATATCTTATTAGTATTCTTATTATTTTTTTTATTAAATATACAATAAGCTTCTCTGGTGATACAGCACTGAATGCTTATGTATTTATAAAGGCGACCATTAAATGCTATAATAGGCTATAAGGTAAGAAGCTGATGAAATGTCGAGGCAATAGTCCAATTTAAATTTCGATATAACACTTAAATTATTTTTTCTTATTAAAAGAAAAATTTTGGTGGTGTATTGAAGCGTCTTTATACCAATTTTGCGATTTATTTAGTAATAGTTTTGATTAATTTAAATTTGCGTATTGCCCCTGAAACTTGAGGTAATCAATATAACAATAACAACGGATACGAAGAAAGCAAACGAGGAGTAGCTGAGAAATGTGTGGTTTTTGAAAATGGTAAAATGCAAAGGTAGATTTCAAAATTTTTAGTTTTTGCATATAGACTTCTGTACATTACTTTTGACTCTATTTTATAATAAATTGTACTTTCATCGTAGGAACTGCGTTGTAATTTTAGCAATCATTTATGTTTTTATATTGAAATAATTAAGTTAATTTTTAGTAGAAAGCTTTGTGAAACGTTTATAAAGAAGGTGAATTTCCTTGATTTTTAAGTATCCAGTCTATACACAAAAATACTCAATTTTCTAATAGTAAAGTCGATTTGAAATGTGAAAGGACAATCGAGAATTTTTATGTAAAATATATTTTTATCACAAATTAAAAATGAGCTTTCTAGCTACCCCTTTTACGACCAACAAATTCTATCTAACGTGCGAGTATAAGCGATTGGAAAATTGTAAAAAATTAATTTTTTTTTTGGTAAAATCGCGAAATTTTACAAACGTTTATACGCGCAAAACTGACGAAATTGTCAGTTGTTTTGATAAAAAGGACCGAAATCCCCCTTATAAAATATTTTTATCACAAAACTACATTTAATAATTACTAAAAAATAACGTGTATGTCTTAAAAATATTTTAAATAATAGATTCTCATTTCGGATATTATATAGGTACAAAATACGTTACAGGGTAATTATAAAATTATAACACAATAAATAATAAAAATTTAAACTAATTATGGTTAAGTACTTTTTATAACCACCCTGTAACCAACTACCCCTTAACTTTTAATGCGTTTATATCCCAAAATATTGATAAACGTGATCCTGGGCCAACTGGGCTTTTCTACGATTTTTATAAAATATACTCTCATTGTAACGCTACGAGTTTGTTTATTTTGGACACTATGTAATTTTATTTTTAATGATATAATTATTGGTATATTTAACAAAGTACAGTCAATGTCCGAGTTGATACAATGCGAATTTAACTTCAAAAATTTTCAATAAAATGAAAAAAAATGTGTTTATCCAATATCATGGTAGTTAATCTAAGTACATTCTACTGTTAAAAAAACCTGTTTATCTACTATACACAGTGAACCAGATTTATTTTCCAAAAATGAAAATTCTAAGGTGTAAGTAACCTTATGCAAGTTTCCCTTCAAATTAAAAACGACAAAAAATTAATACCTAATTATCCTCTAATGAAATTTCAACGTAGTCCAAACGACTTGACTCGGATGAGAAACTGCTCCTATTTCGCAATTTACAGTCCTCGACCTTCCGTTCAGGACGAAAAGCGCTTCATTAGCAGGAGTCACCATGTATTGCCCAAATAAACCTAAAAAAAATCCACCCTGTATAATTCATATAGAATGGGATTGGTTCTAAGATCGTTTTCTGAACTCTGGACATTATTAGTTTATCCTAGACGGTTCCAAATAGTCTAGAATCTGTCCTAAACGGTTTTAAAGAATGATCATTCTGAACACTCCAATATTGCTAGTCAGTTTTAAATTAGTTCTAAATGATTGCGAACAGTTCTAAATAGTCCTCAAATGTCTCTGGACTTTTCTCGTTGATTTTAAACGGTTCCAAATAGTCCAGAATCTGCCCTAAACAATTCTAAATCATCCCGAACCATTCGAAATGCTCCAACTTAGTTCTAAATGTTTCGTTTGATTTACCTGATCCTCTTATGGGTCTGTTGGGATTGTTCCATTTCGTCAGCTGTACCGGAACGGCTCTACCCACTCCGGTAATCATTTCCACCTTGCCTGGAACAACAAATTACCCGAAATGAGCGGTACAAAAATACAGTGAGCGATAAAACAACATTTACCTGTGAGTAAATTCAAGAATAATATACCCTCTTTATCTTGAGCCGACGCGTAAATGTCGTAACTGTGCGTAGATTGGCTGGGATAGAACGTTATGTCCGATATATTCAACGTTGTTTTCACGTCGAAATTGAAATTTAACCCGTTCGCTACAAAAACAAATAATATGGGTTATAGTATATTCACTTTAACGAGGCCGTGACGTCACCGTACTTGTTCGCTACGAATAATAAATTGTATATAGTGTGTTCGCTTTAAGGTAGTAGTGACGTCATCGATAGAATAATTTTTTTGTAAGGGTATTTACCTGTAATTTCCTGGACTATTAGCGTCGCTCCGTTGGTAGTTCTATCCAGAGTCACCAGTTTTCTGGAATCGGGCGAGATGTACGGCACGCCCGGTAGATTGGGCTTCACGCCTATCACGCTATCGGTTAAATAATCCAGGATGAGTTGCCCCGTGGGTCGGCTGGTGACCGGTTCCAGGCATTGCATTATCACCATGCCATCTAAGAGATGGGAAGAAAAAATTCCATTTCTCGAAAGCGAAAATTAGTTATTTCGGACGTTCGAGGTGTACCCGAAACCCGAAGCTAACTCGATTTGATAAGTTTCTAATCCGCGCTAATTCGATAGGGGTCGAACTCCCGCGCCGTGTTTTACATACAAGGGTAGGGTGAAAAGTTCTCGGCCTAACAATGTAACACCGCGAATTTCAGTTGGAAAATTACATCGGCAGTCAAAAATCTTTAGTTTAAGACGGTTTTAAACGATTCTGGGGCGTTGTAGATTACCGATTGCAGGGCACTCGGTATATCAAGCGGAGAACTTTTCACTCTACCCTCGTGCGTACGGACATTCCCCGTAGTCAAAACTTACACAAGGACGAGAATCTGACTTGCGTCGGTACGCAATTGTAGGGCGTAAGATCCACCGATCTGGTGTATCTCAGATTAACCAAATCCAATTTGTACAATCCCCTTTGATTAGTGTGCGTCACGTAGCCGTATTTGAAGCTGTAGTGGGACAATTCCTGAAAATACGACGAAACCGGATTAGAGAGATCAAACCAGCACGGAGACGTCCCAACTTTGTTCCGGATAAGTTTCGCCCACATCGAGAATAAGACGTTCGTGATTACTCACTTGTAACGGCGACGGGATGAACAATCCGGTGACCAGATCGAATTGCCCGTCGATCGGTTCCGGATGCACCGTGTGATGTTTCCTCTTCTGGCCGGCGTCCCTGATCACCTGTATGGTTTTGATGCCGGTGTCGTTGGCGGACCTCCAATTGAGCACCCACACCTGGTCCAGATGGGCCACGTACCTCAACCCCACCGGGTACTTGTCGGTGCTGACGACGTCCACCACCACCATTTGCACCTTGGAGATGATCAAGATGCGGTCGCGCGTCGGCTGGCTGGCGTACACGTAGCGATTGGCCACGTTTATCGCCCTGCCCCAATCGCATTTCGTCCCTTTGCCGCCGCACACGTACTCCTGCGAACGCAATTCCCCCGTACAGGACTCGATCCGTGTGTTTCTGAGGTCTGGAGGCGGCCTATATGCTTATGCATTAGAGAATGTGTCCCGTTGTTTGAGGATTTTTTGAGCTTCGCTTTTGCGCCGCACCGTGGCGAACGATCGAAGGATCAACTTATCTCAGCCAATCATCGCGCTGTATATATAAATCGCGGTTGTGTGAAACGACAGTTCGAGCTGTCAAAACTACAAAAATTATTATTTGACATTTCGAAAAGAAAATGGAGAAATATATTAACCGATGATACGTGAGGGAAGATGTTGACAACAAATTCATCGCTGATTTAAGTATATTTTTATATTTTGTATCTGTTTTTAGTTTGAATAAAACCTTTCTTAATGCTAATTAAATATAATTCGTATGATGCAAAAAACCGTGGTGCTCTACAACATCGCCTCCTAGCGGCCGTTTTAGGAACTCTGTTTTATCCTCAAATAACGGGACACTTTTTTGACCTAAGTTTCCAGACCTTAGAAATACAGGGTGTTTCTAAACATCGTGTACATCCGAAGGGAGGCGATTCCTTGCCTTATTTTATGACTAAAAGTTCATATACATAAACGTGGGTCCGCTTCTTTATCGATACAGGGTGTTGAAATTTCATGTTTTTTTGTTTCTTTTTTAGAGCTCATGCAGTTTTTGAGATAAAAGAAAGAAAAAAGTTTCTAAACAAAACAGACAATTAATTTTGTATATTAGAATCTACCAGCGGCGCACAGCAAAAAAGTCAGGGGGATAAAGGGTACATGACCCCTGAAAAAATATCACCCCGTAGAATTCAACAACCATCTGATATATCCAATAATGTGTGCCCTATAAATCAATCTAGATTCAAAATTTGAGCTAAATATCTCATAAAGTGCAAGAAAAACCAAAAAAAGCTGAAATTTCAACACCCTGTAGATCGGTAACGAAACGTTTGCGGACCCACATTTATATAAACTTTTAGTCATAAAATAAGCCAAGGAATCGCCCCCTTTCGGATGTACACGATTATTTAGGAACACCCTGTATGGGGCCGCGATCGAGGGTAAATTCGTCGGGATTTACCTGCGTGCCGGGGATGATGTCGGTGGATTGGATGCGGTGGTAGAGCCTGCACGTCGAAGGCTCGTAGATGGATATGCCCCAATCGTGGAACGCGAAAAACCGGCGCTCCTCGTTAGGCGAGCCTGCAATTAAGGAAGGGTTTCGAAGAGAACGAGAGGGAAAAACATGCATAATCAAGCGCGCGGAATGCGTTCGATTGCTCTACGGGATTTTAATTGATGCTCGCTTCGAATGTGGAAAATTTTAATCGCCGAATCGCTCGGTAAATTGGGATTATTTTTGTGTTGTATTCAATGAAATTATCGATTGGACGCGATACTTACTGGGCGTCGGTTGTTCTTGGACCACCAGCGAGCTGATGTCTCTCGTTATACCGCCTGAAATTTATTTATTAATCGACGATTCATTAAACGATGAATAATTTTATTCACCTATGCTGGTTGCTTGACACATGTAGGCTCCGGTATCGGCGAATGCGATGTTTCTTATTTTCAACGACGTACCGTTTCCTACTATTTGATATTTTCTCGGAGCGTCTAGTTTCAAATGCTCGTCGTTTTTCAACCACTCCACCTGAAGGAAAATACAATTACTTCTGGATACTTCAAGAGAACGATCCAAGAAGATGACATCAAACAGATCGGGCTAAAAATGGATGAGAAATGGAAGTTTTAGAATGAAATAGAATGCACTGGAAGAGGTCTACGACCAGAAGTACTGGTTGAAGAAAGAAGGAAGGAAGGAAGGAAGGAAGGAAGGAAGGAAGGAAGGAAGGAAGGAAGGAAGGAAGGAAGGAAGGAAGGAAGGAAGGAAGGAAGGAAGGAAGGAAGGAAGGAAGGAAGGAAGGAAGGAAGGAAGGAAGGAAGGAAGGAAGGAAGGAAGGAAGGAAGGAAGGAAGGAAGGAAGGAAGGAAGGAAGGAAGGAAGGAAGGAAGGAAGAAATGAATGAATGAATGAATGAATGAATGAATGAATGAAGAAAGGACCAAGCCAGCTGGATGTAAAACAACATACCTTGGGAAAAGGCTCACCGGCCACGTGGCAATACATAATAGCATCCTCGCCGGGTCGCTTCGATTGCAGCCTGGGAGTGACGTGCACCTCGGGCAGCGCTGTGACAAACCGAAATCATCACAATACCGTTCCTTTTCGGATGTTTCATCGGCCGAATACTCACTGAGCACGGTGAGGACGTGCGTCTGGACGATGTCCTTGTTGCGCTGCGCGTGACAGGTGTAGTTCCCGGCGTGCTGTAGCTGGATGCCGGTCATGTAGAGGCTGCCGTCGCCGAACACGCGCACGTCCTCCTCGTTGAGCGTCGCCAGATCGACGTCGTTGCGCTTCCACACGATGGGCGGCACCGGCGAGCCGGTCACGTCGCATTTGATCTCGACGTTGTCGCCCACTCGCGCCCACAGGTGGCTCGTTTCCAAGGCTTTGTCCAATGATACCACGTAAACGCCTGATGGTAGATTAGTACTGATTAAAATGTGCGTTAAGAGAAGTTGATCATGTTCCTGTGGATGGAAAGATGGGGAGGAATGCACAGTGTTTGCTGAAGATCTATTGGATGAGAGACGGAAGGAGAAAAATAACTACATTGCTCTCCTTTGGATTTGATCATTTCCTGGAGGTTTCTGAAGGGCATGAGAAAGGGACTCAGGATGAAAGTAGAATACTTGAAGAAGATGTAGTAACTCTTGAATGAATAACAACTAGCTCTCCTTTGGATTTGATCTTCCTGGAGGTTTCTGAAGGTCATGAGGAAGAGACACAGGAAGAGAGTAGAATACTTGAAGAAGATGTAGTAACTCTTGAATGAACAACAACTAACTCTCCTTTAGATTAATAATCCCTGGACCTTTCTAAAGGTCATGAGAAAGAGACACAGGAAGAAAGTTGAATATTTGAAGATATAATAACTCTTGATGAAGAAAAAGAATGAATAACAACCAGCTCTCCTTTAGATTGATAATCTCTGGACCTTTCTAAAGATCATGTGGAAGAGACTTAAAGAGACAGTAAAATACACAAGGAAGAAGAAGAAGCACGAATAATAGCCATCTCTCCATTGTATTGACTGTCTCTGGACCTTTCTAAAGGTCGCAGGAAGAAAGAAGAAGTTGCTGCGATGTAACTAGATGTCCTAGTCGCACCTCTACTAGCTCTATTTCGTATCGACTTACTGTAGAGCTTGCTGAAGGCCACGTAGAATTCATTGATGCTCAATTTGCCGTCGTGATCGGTGTCATCGTACTCGATCATATTCGCTAATGAACAACCATTGCTCAGCGTGTCGAGTCGCTCTTGAATCGATATCTGCGAATAAGTAATTTTATTCATGGCGTTTCTCTAAATCGAGTTCGATGCACAAGGAATTTCGCTATAGCTACAGGGTGTCCCAATGTCGGTAGGTCCCACACTGTACGAAAGAGTTTGGTTCATCAAATTGTTGATTAAATTGTTGATACTGTTAGAGGAAAGTTGGAATTTTTACATAGCTACTCCATTATCGAGCATTCCGAGAGGAAAACCTTTTTCGCCGATGGGGTAATGAATTTTCCGCGATTTCCTCGCGCTAATCCGGGGCTCTGTTTCCAAAACAACACAGGCCTGTTTCGAATTCAAACGCAATTTCCAAACTGCTTCAAACAATAATCCCTCATATAATGCGACAATTTATTTTGAGTAATGCCGTATTATTACCCTCTTCCCGGGCTAATAAATTTCATTCAAACGCGCCGCCCCCGTTCGGCTTTTCCGGAGCAGAGGCGCGGGAAATCCCGCTCGAGAACCCATCTAAATATGAAATTTAATCTGAATATTAAATACACTTCTGTATCAGTCAATCTTAAAACAACTCTAACTACTTTGTGTGGAATATATTGCGCGATCCTCGTAAAGTTTGGTTATCGACATATACGAGGTCCGGTTTATAATTAACACCCCTATGAAAAAATACGCCAACTACGATAATGCCTCTTTTACCTCGTTTAATTCCGTCGCTTCCAAGTTGCCATTGTTATTCCTGTCGTAATGCGAAAACATAATAGAGACCAAGTAATCCTTGCTGTGATTATTCTGGGACATCAACCTGGCGTGGTTGTATAGCAGTAAATTGTCCTGGAAAAATCATTTTTAGGAATGTTGAAGTTCGCTTTTACGACGAGAGGGGAAGTTTCTTATCTCCGATTATATTCCCTCGAGTGTCGAGGGCGTCAAAAAGGGGACGTTTATATTTCCTGCTATTTACCTTCAGCACTTCGTACTCCTGCATGCTGCAGTCCTCTTTGTCCGTGTAGAAATCGCTGGAGTCGCCCACTTCGTTGTCCGAGTAATCGGAGCCTCCTGTGGTCGTTTCCGAGGTACTTTCATCGGGAACCTGCAGCAGGAATCGCTCTTATATCTCCTGCGAGAAGCGGTACGATTTTATTGCTTACCTCTTCTGCTTGGAGCTCGGTGGAGTTTTTGCCGCTCCAAGTCAAGGCGGTCGTGGAAATTTCGTCGGAGTAGGCTATGGGAGGTCGGCCTTTACCTATGATGAAATTGGGAAAATATGAAAAATCAAAAATTGGAAGGATTACGAAAGGGGGAAAGAGATGACAATATAACTACAATTTCTAGTTTTTTCAAATTGTTCAGGATATTTTTAGGGTTATTTAGAAATGAAGAGGATTATTTGAAATAGTTAGGGACGATCTTAGAACTATTTACAACTGTTCGAACCCGTTTAGAACGGTACAGAATCATTTGGAACCATTTCAGTTACTCTAACAGGATTTCAAAATCATTTAAAACTGTACAGAACGATATTTGAACTGAACACGATTATTTCAAATAGTTAAAGACGATCTTAGAACCATTTAGAACTGTCTGGAATCATTTAGAACCATTTTAGAACTGAACAGAATTATTTAAGACGATCTTAGAACCATTCACAACTATTTAAAACTATTTAGAAGAGATTCAGGACTACTTGGAACAGTCAAGGATAAACTGGAACAGTTTCAGTACTATTTACAACCTTTTATCTGAAAAATATTGACCGATGAAAAATATTCCGATGAAATTTACAAGTAAAAACTTGTAATATAAAATGTACGCCTCGGGCCAATCCCGTAATATACAGAAACCAGTCATTTACCGTGACCTATAAAGAGTTATTAAAGTACTCAATTATTCACGTATTAATCTAATTTATTGACAACGTATAATAGAGAGGAAAAGGTAAAAGTGGAGAGACTCCCTCACCTCTAACTAATTGACATTACGTACGAATAATTTAATTAAAAACGCACGTGGAAATTCATCGATAGCCATTATGGGGAGGTCCTCTCGCAGCCACCTCGACTGAGATAACCCTTTTATCGAATTAGGGATTTCACTTGGCGCCGTAAATTACTCCTAATTTGACTTTGATAAAGCGGGAAATTTAATTGGATTTTCATTATTAGGCGAGAGAAGGTATTATTCGACTTCCCTGTTAAATTATTATACCGGCTCGGCCCGCTGCCATGTCAACAAACGGCAAACAAAGTCGAGTAATGGAGTGAAATAATCTAATAAATTCACTTCGTGGAATAAAGAAATTCTCTATGTCATCTCCATTTTATTTTCTTCCATGTTAAATGTCATTAATATGTCAATTGTCATTTTTGTTAATTCTTTGAACGGTCTTACATGCAGGTCTGGAAACTCGGCTTTCTGATACAAGCGCCCCCTCTCGAGAGTCATATCCCATCCACAAGAGTTTCCTGACCTGTTATATACGATCGTGCTTTCTACAATGTTAAATGTCATTATTGTTAATTTCTCGACTTGTCAAAATGCAACGCGGGAAATTCAAATAAATCAATCGTTTACAACACATTATTTTTGATATAGGAAAATTATAAGCATATCGTGTAGTACAATTCATCAATTACATACACCCTCCATGCAATATTTACAACACTCACGTTATATCCAAAATCGATACGTCAGTATTTGTAAATAAATTATCTAGTAGGTACGTAACGAAATACCACCGGGGGATGTACCTATGACGGATTGAATTATTTACGCTGGAAAAAGTAATAAAGAAAAACGAATTCGCGTTCGAACAAACCGCTAAATTAATATTCGAATTAACAATACCGGCATTTGTATTCGGAGCGGGTGTAGAGGGCGAAATTCAAAAATCAATTTTTGCGACGCAGGAACAAACCGCAGGAATTTTAAAATCTTAAAGCCTTTCCACACTCCGGAGGGTTTTCTCATTACCATTCGTAACGTTCGACGAACGATAAGCAGTATATACAGCATGTCCCGCTATTCCGTTAAACATTCCCAGAGGCGTAGATACAGGGGCTGTGTGAAATATATACGCGCCACTGACGTAATATTTATGATGAATTATTTTCCACAAATATACGCCACTGACGTAATGTATCGAAGAATTTTTTTTCCACAAAATAAGTGTATATTTCACCCCGCGAAGTTTTTTGTTGTAATATTTATGAGGACGCCCTGTATACAGGAAGTTTCATGGAGTTATACGAGGTCTTTGCTGCCAGAAAAATCCATTTTGATTTATTAATAATGCATTATTCAAGCGACTTGTAACAGCGTCAATGCGTATACGTATAATAGGGAACTATTTGATCTATAGAAGTTGAATTTTTTATGTTAAAAGTAAGCTTTTATACCGGGTCGATGTTTTCGAATTGTTCATGAGTTTTAGAAATATTCAGAACCGTTTAGAACAGTCCTGAAACATTAAGAACTGACTAGGACCGTTTGAATCAGTTCAGAACGATCTTAGAATCATATAGAACTGTCCAAAATCGTTAATAAATGATTCAGAACTCTTTAAATTGAGCCAGAATAAATCAGAAAAGGTTAGAACTGTCCTGAAACATTTAGAACTAACTAGGACCATTTAGAACACCAGATTAACCAAAAAGGAGCCGTTTAGAACGCTTTAGAAATATTAAAACCACATTTTAGCAAAATTAAAGTGTTATTGACATACTAATTTCTTCTCTAAAATTTTGAATGGCCTTTAACTTCTCAGGGATGCAGCTACATAACGTTCTAACGTAATATGCCCCCTTATCGACTACAAATTGAAAGCCGATAGAGTGATCAATTAATATCCGGGCGCATTTTAATTGACGCGAAATCATCGCACAAAAGCTACAACAAATCCGTTTAGTTACTTTCGAAGCCGAGAAATCGGCTTCTTGCGAAGTTTCCTTTGCCCGTTTAACCTAATTACCGGCGAATTTTCAATTAATGAAAAATCAATGGACCGTCAAAACGGTTCGAGCAGCTCGCATAGTGCGAGGAAAAACCCCCGGTTTTAATCACGGCCCACTCGACGATTCCTCCAATTAAAAAACGCTACGAGTGGAAGAGGAATCGAACTCGAACACCTCCCACCTCTATAATTATTCGTTAAAACGTTCGTTAATCGAAAGGAGAAGACGAGTCGTTAAAATCGAGATCGATTTCACCGGCGTCCGTTTTGCGAAATTATTCCGTCAGGAATCGGCGACCATATCAAGCGAATTTACCGCTGAATTTCCTTCATTTAACTAAAGTGCATGTAATAGCGTTCTCAATGAACCAAACCGGCCGAGGCTTAATGGCCCGATCGAAGGGGGAACTGGAAATCGAACAGGAACTGGAACTGAAAGTGAAACTGGAAATACAAGCGGTAGTGGAACTGGGATTCGAATTGAAATGGGAACTGGAACTGAAAGTTGGCACTGTTACTGAAATAGGAGCTGGAACTAGAAATGAAAGAGGTACTGTTACTGAAAAAGGAACTGGAACTGGGCTGGAATTGAAGCAGGAACTGATGATGGAATGGGAACTATAGAGTAGGAGTTGCAATTCGAATTGAAATAGGAACTAGAACTGGAACTGGGACGGGAGCTTCAACTGGAACTAGAGATGGAAGAGGAACGGGAGCAGTTGCAATTGGAATCTTCGGAGACCTAGATGATATTTAGTACCTGGTTTCTCGCAGAAGGAGCGCCTGGTGGCCGTGATGACGGTGGATAGAAGACAGGCGGCTCGGTGCATCTCGCAGTGATTCGAATAGACGCGACCATCGGTGGCGCAGAGGGGCTTCTCGTGCACGGGGCACTGTCTTTGGCAGACGCATTTCGGTTCGCCCTCTTCCAGCACGCATTCCCTGCCCTTCCTGCAGTAGTGCACCAAACAGGGATCTGGAAAAAATGACATAAAATGACACAAAACTCGATGATCACGGTGTTGTAATGAACGCGAAACTAGGTGTTTTGAGAGTGAATTTATTATTGCTCGTTGAAGATGGTTTAGTAATAATATCGAAACTAGGTCATTTGAGAAGGATTTAATGTAGTAGTACATTTAAAATTGAAATGAATTTACAATTGCTTGTAATAAGATCGAAACTGTTTAAAGCCCTATCATTAGCAAGTCTTTTTCTGCATAAAATGAATGAAATCTATGAAGATGTTGTATCTAATAAAACAGTCAACTAGTATACTATTGAATGAGTAGTGACCTAGTACTGTTCCACAGCACCATTTCCAATGCTATTCGAAATAGCGTTACTGTTATACTTTTCTTATTCCCAGTACTGTCCCAATAACATTCGCGAGTATTTTCCCAATCGGCCCGAGAAAACTGTTTGCCCAGCTCTTCGGAGATCTCGCAGTCGCTTATCCGGAAGTTTTTCCGGTTAATGAGCCGAAAGTTTCGCCGAATGAAAAGTTTTAAAGAGCGAAAATTAAACGGCGAACGGGCGCTCGTCTTCTCCTACCGCCATTTATCTTACGGTCGCGAGTTTTTTTTTTTCTTCTAGTTCCAATTTATTTAATAGGGCCGTCCCGCAAAAAGCCCCAAAGCCACTTAATGCGGATCCGTTTCTCTCTTGCCCTTTCCGTGCCGTTGAATTTCATTTTTCGATAAAAACTGTCGCAAGAGCGGGGAATTTGTCGCCGTGAGAAATATAGCGCGAGCTGTAAATAAACCGGTAGAAGCGCCCCTGCTTATTAAACTTTATTGTCAAAAGTCAAAACTAAACAAAGCACAGATGGCCTTTTACTTCACTGAGAACGAGTCAATTTAATGTTCGGCTATTCGGCCATTTTAATCGTGTTAAATAACGAGTTATTTATGACATATGACAGCGGAAGTTGACTCACTTGTTTCCAATAAGGTGATATGTGTGGTTTCCGGCAGGAGCGTCGTCTCGGAGTCCCTGTGGTGTCGCGATTTCTGCAAAAGAAAATCGATTACAGTAATTCACGAATCGATTATCTAATTTCCTGTGAAAGTTTCGGAATTTCAAACCAATTTTTTGATTCATTTACAATTCATTTTCGGTCGAAGCATCAACGACAGCGGTGGAAGACAACCCGATTAATATTTGGGGGAAAAAAACCAGTTATCCAATAATTAACCAATAGGTAATATCTGATCGAACGGTGATTTATAATGGGGATGCGAGAGGAGATCGAGCAGGCGGCGCCTCGGTAAATGGTGTTAATCTCTGTAACTGACACCAGGGTATGGGAACTCGTGGCTACTGGCTCCACCTGTTTCGAGCGTCCATGAAACACCACTGCGCATGTTTTGCTATAGATGGCAGTGTATGAAAATGGCCTAGTAAAGTCCCCGTCAAGTTAGTATGTTATCTATGTAAAGTCCATAGGTCCTATTGGTCCGTTCCGCCCTTTTTTGCCGGATTCGCGTTTTTATCTGTATAAAACACCTGTATGAAACAGACTTAACGACTTCTTTCTTATTTTCTGTCGTTTTTGAGTTTTTGGTTATTTTATGCCATTTATGGTTTAACTTCGGACATTTGTGTCTTTATTGTATTTTTACGTGCGTGTTGTGAGTTGAATAATGCTATCGGAATTCGTTACAGTTAGTTATCCTTATTATTGTTTATTAATAGGTACCGTTCTAATAGGTAGTAATGAATTATTTAAAAGGGCCCATGACGAGTATCAAAGAAGAATACCTAAATTTAAAAAAATATACCTTGTGAATTAGACCATTGTAGAATATACCAATTTAGCTATAGAAGGTTGTTGTTTCTTTTATTTTTTCTACTTCTACAATTTCATAATAAATTTAGAGGAATTCTTTTTAACTGACCTACTCATTTTACACTAACTACATTTGTAAAGTAAAATGTTTATTTCAGTTAAAAAGGTTTCCCTCTAAATTTATTATGAAATTCTTATTTAAAAAGTAATAATTGTGTACACAAGATTTTTAAATTTTGGCGCCAATTGCAGAACACTGTAAGTATAATTAGTATTCTGCATTTAATGTATAGACGCGCGTCATAGGTGTCGTTAGTAAAAAAATTGAGTTTCCCATCTATAGTGTAGGTTATCTGTAACTGACACCGCCAGATATATTATATTCTACTTCAAACTGTCCGATTTTGATGAAGTGGGAGAATCTAAATTGAAATCTGGACTATTTCTGGACGCTCTGGACATGATCGAGTTGCGTATTTTAGTATTTATTATACGAGTTTCTTCAGCACTTCATGTGACATGCTGTATAGCGGCGATTTTCCGATATACCAGTGCGAAACGAGTGCGAAAAGGAGAGGGAATCTAAGCTATGTAATAAAGGGAGAGAGATATTATAAATGAAGTAGTGTGCAGTGTTAGAATCAATTAACTGGACAATTTCAGAACTATTTTTTAGAACTCTTCAAAAACATTTTAAACTGATTAAAATTTGGAACAGTTCAGGACCTTTATAACCATTTAAAACTATCCAAAATATTTAGAACTGGTTCAGGACTATTTGATGGAACGGTCCAGTTTAAATTAGAATAGTCCAAAATTTAAGTAAAATTGAATTATTACTAACTCAATTCTTCCACCAAAATTTCGAAACTCTTCTTTGATGGCCTTTAACTTCTCAGAGATGCAGCTTAGTTGATGGGTTAAAACACCGTATTTTTTAAATACCCTGTATAGTCTGTGTGACACTCTGTATACAAAAAAAGAAACAAATTTGAGCGGGAAATTCGAATAAAATTCCATCTGCACCGACGCGAAATCAACACCGGAGTAAAATCGCCAGCCCCCGCCGAAAAGGGCACTCCGGAATTATGAAAAGACTGAGAAAATCGAGGAAATGTAATTACGCCTTTGATCCGGCAGCGTTCCCATTGTTAATGGTCTTTCCATCTCGATTTTCCGGCGCGAGGGATTCCCCGGAAAAAAGGGCCGGAGCCGGAGGAGGGGGCGAACTCGCTTACACCTACTTCTTTAACGCGGATAATGCGATTTGTCTTGTTTTAGCGACCGAGTCCTTTCTGTTAAGGATCTCGTCCTTTTTTTTTTATTTCATCGCGAGTAACAATCGGAATTTCGCTTTCCCTTCTTTTTTTGTCAATTAGTACTGTATTAGGGATTCCTCGGGAATGTTCCTTAATGAGGTTCTCGGGCAGGATATTTGGGTTTTACGCGGAGGAATATCTTTGTCTTAAATCCCCTTAGAAGGAATAAATTTATGTTTCCTTTAAGAATAATAGAATTTATTTAATAAAAAAGTATATTAGCAACTGATTAAATATTTTTTTTTTGAATGAAAATTGCACACACTTATTTACTCGTAAATCAGACGAGTTAATACCTAATAAACCACAATTAATAACCCCCATTATTCGGGAAATTAATAACCCCGTTATTCGGGCGAATTTCCGATAAATCGATCAGCGCCAACTAGCCAATAAAATAACGAAAAAAATAAACAGAAAAAAATCTAATTAACGACCGTTCGGCACGGCGAAACAGCCGGCGTCGCGACGCCCGTACAAAGTCAAAGGATAAAGTTTCCGGGCGAGATTTATGCGCGCTTTAATATTAACTTTTCATAAGTAAATGTCAGTGGGGCAGCGGTATCTCATAAATTAAGTGGCTTTTCGATAAAGAGCTTTCGTTTATCCGCGCTTTAATTAAACTCAACGACGTCTCTTTCCGACGACTGGAGCCCAGGCACGTATCCAGGGTGATTTGTTACGGGGCCCTCTTAGACGCACGACCGAATAGGAAGAGGCCACTCTTGACGTGGTCTCGTCTAAGTCTCCGCAAGGGACGAGAAATATATCTCTTCTAATTCGGCAAACTATTTAGATAGGAGTTTCGGATGAGCTTTGTTGGATAAAATAAAATAAGCTCTGCGAATTAATTTCAGACAGCTTTATTAAGCTACATTAGAAGCTTCTACAGGGATTCTACAACAAAAATTATTTTGCAAACTTCCTATATTTTAGGCGATGTTTGACGAATAATTTCGCGAGTATGTTCATTAAAGTTTCATTTGCGGTCGAATGAATGGGGAGAATTTATGGAAATTTCGGCGAAAGTCCCGTTCTGTGCGGAAACGGAGAACTCCCGGCTTACGCTAAATTAGTTGTAATACATCAAATACTCGCGTTTTTACCCGTTTTTTGATTGAACCGCTGAAAACGTATTTTATGTGTCTTCTATTCTACTATATTCCATTCTAATCTGCGTATTTTTTGCATTGTAAGCGAATAACTGGGACTTTAAGATACGTTTGATGATGCATTATTTAACAAGAAACTGTCAAAATTGACATTAATGACATTTCGTTTTCGTCTAACAGAAGTTTAATAGAGGTTTAATCGATTTTTTTGTTTAGAGGCGCAGTAACGACTGTTACAAAGTAACTGTTATTTTTTCAAATATCTTTCTCATGATTAGTCTCTACTCTGAATCGACTCTAACCTGAATCTACTCGACTTTTCCAAACTGAACTCTACTCTGAATGTACACTATTCTACTCTGAATCTACTCTATTCTGTCCTATCCTACTCTGAATCGACTCTAACCTGAATCTACTCGACTTTTCCAAACTGAACTCTACTCTGAATGTACACTATTCTACTCTGAATCTACTCTATTCTGTCCTATTCTACTCTGAATCTACTCTACACTGAATACTTTGAATCTATTCTTCGGTAGTAAACTCTACTCTGACTCTATTCTGTTCTACTCTATTCTACCCTACCTAACTCTTCTATACTCTTCATCTACTCCAGGGGGGTGGCACTTACTCTTGAAAATTTTGGAGAACGATTTGCAATGCCATCTATAGGGGCCCAACAACATTTTCTGTTGCCGAAGAGCATTGGCAGCTAAGTCAAATCTAAATAATGGAAAAGAAGAATTCCTAAACGAATTGTTATTGTTTACAGTACGCCATTACGCCATTATGACATTACGCGTAAACGTTTATTTTTATAAAGTAAGTAGTAAAATTGTTCTTAAATTAAAATGTATGTCATTTATGTATTATATATTATTATCCTTTATTTATTTTATTTTTATTATATATTTGAGTGTATTATTTAGTAACAGTTCAATATAAGTATACAGCAAATATATGTATTTTTAATTCCTAACTACAATCTCACCTGCTACATTTAAATGTGTGAGAATTCCCGCCAATAAATGCTAAAATCTCATAGGTTCCTGTAATAGGTTTTGTTGGACCCCAATGGATGGCAGCACATTCAGGCCAACCACTTTTTTGACAGAGTGTCCGGTCTATATGTGTATTTTGTCTATGATCTACTCTACTCAAAGATATCTCAAAGTAAGCGAATAAGTAGGACGTTAAAAGATGTGTTCGATAATACAAACTGTCAATATTAGCATTAATGACATTTCGTCTGACAGAAGTTTAATAGAGGTGGGAATCGATTTATTTGTATAGAGGCGCAGTAACGACTGTTACAAAATAACCGATACTTTTCAAATACCGCTCTACTCGAAAATTTTTACACGTCACACGTGCCCCATCGGCTCGCCGCCTCCCAAAAGCCTTTCGCCGATGAATCGATTGTCTCGCGAAATTTTCCCGCGAGAGAGAGAGCTTTTAATATACGGCTGGGGGCGAGATTAAAAGCGCGCGGGGCGGGCGATAGGGGCGGAAGAGCCCAGGCGGTTTCCGGCCGGCCGCCTCCGGGGGCGGGAAATTTTTATCCGGTTTTCGCATTTCCGGGACGTAAAGGGTGTCCGAGCGTGCACGGCAAAAAAGCCGGGCGAGACGACGCGGAAAAGTTCGGGAACTTTTTTTTTCTCCCGTATCTCCCGAGAGGGCGATTTTAATTCGGATAAATCAATAAGCGTGCCTTGGAATTCATTCATCAAGTCGTCGTCGGATCGGATCCGGTTAATCCATCAACACCTATCGGCGACACGTTTGGACTT